TCAATCCGAAGAAAAGGATCGTCGGGACAGGTTACAATGGGATGCCCAACAACTGTAGCGATCGATCGTTACCCTGGGATAAGAAAAGAAAGGCGACAGCAAGCTTGGAGCTAAAGATTATTACGGTAATTGTTAATTGATGCATTTAAACGTAACTGAATTTATAATTATCTTTGTGATCATAATGTTCTCAAACACACAGAAATTTGGCCGGAAACTGTTCTCCTTTTAATTGCATGGCAAGGGCAGTTCAAACGTCAGTGCCGCAGACAGTCGGTCACTCAGTTTAGCAGCCCAGACTGGACGACGTCCGCGTGTTTGGTGGGGATTGGCGTATGTTTTGTTTTTTTCCTTTATTGATTAGGTTTTCCAGTAGCAAAGACTCATTTATTGTGTATACTAAAGTGGAAAATTCGAAAGTGAACTTCCAAGCTGTATTTGTGGCCCCCTTGTCTTTCTGCTAGTCTGCCATGCGGTGATGAATGCAGTCATAAACAGGTTCTCAGCAGACTTGGAAGGCTGCACTATCTACGTTTCCCTGTTTCCATGCAACGAGTGTGCCAAGATCACCATCCAGTCCAATCCCAAAACTGTTTGAAAAGACACATTTCCGAACATTGTTTCGAGTCGAAATTATTTTGAAGCAGATCTATCCTTTATACAGCTTGTCATGTTACAGTTCTCCGTTCACAAGTTTAATTACTTACACATTTACTAACAGTTTTCAAAAACCTTCGAAACGTAAACCAATTCATTCATTTTCACAGCTATTATTGTCCTTTACACCAAATAGAATTTGATTCTGATGATAGTCAACACTGGGTATTATGCAAGTAAATACTAATTGATTCGTTTACTCTATGAAGATATAAGTAATATGAACTAAGGTTCATATAGAATTTTAACCACTTTAAACATACACTATTATTATCATAAAACAAACACGTGAAGGTTGTGAAAGTTCAGATCATTCTAAAACACACTGTTGGTGTAAGACTGTGGTTATCACGGGATTGCAGAACGAATTATGAATCTGGATTATTAATTGGTTTCATGGCAAATGTTGTTTAGCAAGTGCTCAAATCTCGTCTGGATCAAACATCATGTTCATCCCATTACAAGTGATAAGTGGCATGTCAATCAGGCCACAATATGAATACACATGCAAACTAAATCAGCAATACCAAATTCAAAAGGTTTTCTCTTAAAGTCATTTGTTACAACGATCGAAGAAAAATGAAGATCGGAAGTAGTTCCCACTGAATATTGTATTTCAAATCGATGTATTGATCAACTCCAAGATCTTCAGGAAATTGTAAGAGAGAGGACATTATTTGGGACACCATTTACTGACAGAAGTGTTGAATGTTCAGTTTGTATAAAGATAGTATGTATCGCCACTGGTCAATGTTGCTTAAAACATCAGTGAAATAGATAGACGCTGGTAAAATATCAAAATATGTGAGATGGTAGTCATTATGATATCAAGTATGTGTGTGTCTAACCAAAAATGAAATCAATCGCAGATATAAACATCAACAAAGACAATAGGGATATATATAATGAAAGGCGGATTTGTCAATACTTTACTGAGGGAATACCTCTTCTTGCCAATGTCCCCAACATTACCACCAGTTACACATCGACAACAATGCTGATGACAAAGTCATCTTAAGAAGATCTAACATTGTTCTATACTATATACGCTACACGTGAACGTGTCGTATTACTTTATTTACGACCATAGTTAGGGCAATCAGCAGAAAGAGCTCCATCCTTTCCAAGAACTGCAAGCAAAAGAACCGAAACCAGGTCACGCAAGGGGATGAAACTGAGCCGTATTATCTTGCATACATTTGCCCCTCTCCAAGTGCAGCGTACAGTGATATAAATATTCTCTTGACTTGACCCTAACACATGACGTTATACTATTGAATACGGTTTCATGTCGACCAGTGGACAAGGAAAGGAGAGGAACACAGTGGGGACATCAACCTGTCGGTACAGGTGAATCTCAAGTCGATATTGTGCGTTGTCTTGGTGAAAATGCATCGAGATTCAGAGTGACTATAAACTATCCCGAGGACTAAGAGGGATCCGAACATTTTTTAAAATGGGATTGTATGTCGAGAATACTCTCTCGGCTTATGACGATGTTTTTACTTGTGCATGAAAAATGCCTGCGTTGATTGTATCAACCTGATCACATTGAGCTGGAAGGTAATGAGAGGTACGTATCTCTTGCATTTGTGGATCTTAACTTCATTGGAGTTGATTACAGAATGCCTTGGTGAAATTGGTCAAATACAACATATATTACATTTGGGTTATGCTTTCACAGGAAAGAACAGATTCCAGCTACTTTTTAGGTTTAGTTCCATCCACTATTTGAACCCACTCTCTGAGAGTGCTCTCTATGCCCTGCCACCACAGCTTCCACTAAAATCACCAGGAAAATGGAAGTCTTGACACTGGAGACCGCCTCCGTGGTGTAGCGGTTAGAGCGTCCGCCCGGAGAGCGGAAGGTCGCAGGTTTGATCCCCGAGCGCGTCAAATATGGTACTTGTTGGTCCCTGTCTGGCGCTCGGCATTAATGGGTACAACAAGGATAATTCGAGTCAAGATAATGTGTCTGAGTGGGGTATTCATGCTTCACTGCGGCATGGTATCTCAGTGGGCTAGCACTATAAAACCAGCTTAAGTCTGGGCTAGTACAAGCAGCCGCATATACACGTACACACGCATGCACGTCATCATATGAGCGAAATATTCTCAAGCACGACATAAAACCCAATTTCACCTCACCTCACCTTGACACTGGAAATCTAGGACCTATACTTTATGTACCACTTAGATATGTGTAAATTGTTAAAACTATGAATACACAATGCCATTTAGAAAGTGGTCAAATGCAACTTGCTATATTTGGGATTACACTTTCTCAAAGTGCATGTCCTTCTCAGTAAAATGCATATCTGTACTGAGCATGTGTTATCCAAAATATACTGTGTTGCATTTGTACAGATCTCTCCCAAGAAAGTGTAATCCCAGATACAACATGTGTGTATGTTTCATTGGAGCTGTTAGGAAGCATCATTCAGTAGCCCAATAGACTTTCTATGCAAGTACAGGCTATGGGGTAACCTAAAGGACTCAAGGGGCAAGTGCAGGTTATGGGGTAACCTAAAGGACTCAAGGGGCAAGTACAGGCTATGGCGTAACCTCCAGGGGCAAGTGCAAGCTATGGGGTAACAGAGGACTGTAGGGGCAAGTACAAGCTATGGGGTAACCTCCAGGGGCAAGTACAAGATATGGGGTAACCTAAAGGACTCAAGGGACACGTACAGGCTATGGGGTAACCTCCAGGGGCAAGTACAAGCTATGGGGTAACAGAGGACTGTAGGGGCAAGTACAAGCTATGAGGAAACCTCAAGGAGCAAGTTCAAGCTATGGGGTAACAGAGGACTGTAAGGACAAGTACAAGCTATGGGGTAACCTAGAGGACTCAAGGGACAAGTGCAAGCTATGGGGTAACATAGAGGACTCAAGGGACAAGTACAAGCTATTGGGTAACCTCTAGGGACAAGTACAAGCTATGGGGTAACCTAGAGGACTCAAGGGGCAAGTACAAGCTATGGGGTAACCTAGAGGACTCAAGGGACAAGTGCAAGCTATGGGGTAACCTAGAGGACTCAAGGGACAAGTACAAGCTATGGGGTAACCTAGAGGACTCAAGGGACAAGTACAAGCTATGGGGTAACCTAGAGGACTCAAGGGACAAGTACAAGCTATGGGGTAACCTAGAGGACTGTAGGGACAAGTACAAGCTATGGGGTAACCTAGAGGACTCAAGGGACAAGTACAAGCTATGGGGTAACCTCTATTGGCTAGTCACAAGGGATATGTACAAGGATAGCCTTGAGGACTAGAGGGGGCAAGTACAAGCTATGGGGGGTAAGACTCCAGAGGCAAGTACAAGCTATGGGATAACAGAGGACTGTAGGGACAAGTACAAGATATGGGGTAACATAGAGGACTCAAGGGACAAGTGCAAGCTATTGGGTAACCTCTATTGGCTAGTTCAAGATATGGGAGTAGCTTTGTGGACTCTAGGGGCAAGTACAAGCTATGGGGTAACCTAGAGGACTCTGGGGGCAAGTACAAGCTATGGAGTAGCCTAGTAGACTCTCGTGGCTTGTAATACATTCTATGGGGTAGCAGGTCATGGGGTAGCCTTCTGAACTATTGTGGCAAGTACAGGCCAAGTTTAGATATTGCTGTTGAACATCAGGTTAATCTGTACATTGTTCAGCTGTCCTTTGTGAGGTAAATGAACAATCAGAAATAACAACAGTGATACAAATGGTATTATTTTTTATTAAGCTCAATAACATACATTTATTGGTGTTTATATAGGCCTGAAGTTGGTAAAATATGATATCATTTATCATACATTAGTACCTCTTAACTCTCCTTGCCTAGCAATAGAAACTAGAAAGTGTTTTTACTCGTAAAAACAGATGTCTCCCCCTTCCCTCAATTCAACGTTGAGGCTTCAAACAATTCATTTGATTCCTTCAATTTCAAAATCTCTAAGCATGAAAATACATATTATACATGTTTTATAGTAGTACATGTATATGTTTGATGGTTCTAAGCTTACTAATAATTGGTATTGGTGTTAAGTATACAAAATTTGGTGAAGATTGGTGAAGTGGTTTTAGAGTTATGCTCCGAACACAAACCATACCCTTCAAAAGTCCAACTTTGTTGCCATGGAAACAGAAAAATTAAAATTGGAAAGAACCTCAAACCCCAAAAAGGTACATCTACATGATATGGAGAGGCAGTATACCAAATTTGGTGAAGATGGGTTAAATAGTTTCAGAATTTTGCTCCGGAAACGAACTTTACCCTTCAAAAAGACAAAGTCAAATTGTTGTCATGGAAACAGAAAAAAATAAAATTGAAAAAAATACTCAAACCCCGAAAAAGGTGCATCTACGTGATATGGAGAGGCAGTACACCAAATTTGGTGAAGATTGTTCAAGAAGTTTTAGAGTTATGTTCCGGAAACAATGAGAACGCCGACGCTGACGCCGACGGAAACTCAACTAAAAACAATATGTCTCCCGACCCTTCGGGCGGGAGACATAACTAGCACAGACGGAAACACCCGAGTCGCACCCCTTCTGTATCTCCATATGGTGTATCTCCCGTATCAGATGAAGATGTACAGCTACAGGAAAATAGTATATGCAGAATATCCTAGCCCCATCTACCCATCTGTATGATTAACATTGATTATCATGTTCTTGAAAGTGTTGACCAATCGAACCAGTCCCTTCATTGTTGACTGGACTGTGCTGTTCAGGTTATAGACACCCGACCATCACACGAGAAGCTGCGGGAGTGTGCACACATTACTCTACACTGGCACCTGCTGTAAATGGTCGCAAACATTGACAGCAGTTGTGCAATACAAATATACAATCAATATTTGGTATATTTACTTATATTTTGATTTCTTAAATGTGTAAACAAATGTGTGTCTTCAGGTAAAATTAATACTCGACAGTACGCAATCCAAACAGCATAGCTCTATTGGAATATGCGTTAAGGGGTGGTGTTTGTGGCAAAATCAAGTTTTAAGTATTATTAGTTTTCTGCAATAGTTTTGTGTATAGTAGTTTGCTAGTTTATAGGTTACCGTATAAATACCGTATCAGTTTTAATCATTTGTTCATAGTGGTTGGATAGTTTATAAGTTCAGCATTTAACTTTACAGATAGAATAGAACAAACCAGCAAATAATCCTGTCATTATCAATGACGACGAAGTAGTCAGTAGTTATAAGTATCTGGGAACTAGAATTGAGAATTTCTCTCAAAATATCGACCGCATTTACAGTAGTTGTCAGTCTTGCCTTCATTTCCCTGGGAAACTCCGATCTTTTCACATTGAATCAACCTTTTTGGACCTTTTCTATAAAACTTGTGTGCAATCCATCCTGTTCTCTATTCAGTGTCGGCTCGACTCCCCTTTCACTCAGTAATACAAACAAACTAAACAAGATTATAGAACAAGGAGAGAAAATTATGAATCGTATCTTTAAGAGAATCAATGACATTCATAGCGTAAAGCCTCTATATTATTATGGATCCCTCTCATGTTTCACCTGAATGTTATGAACGTTTAACCTCCGGTCGTCGGTTTAATTTACCCACGTGCAATTCCAAGCGTTATAAAATGTCTTCTGTACCATTATCAATTTCTTTGTTGACTAACCGTTAATGTTCTCCATTCTCATGCTTTGTACATTTGTAGGTAATTATGATCACGTTTCTATGTATTTATTTTAGATACATGCATTTATGCTCATTCAGATGTAAGACAAATTCCCTCACGGGCAATAAAGAATTATCTTATACATGGTATTGTACATAGTGCATTTCTCCCGAGGTATTATATTGTGCATAATTAAATGTAGCTAGTGGTTTTAACAATCAGTACAGTGGGTTGTCTGTGTAATCTATTAAAACTACATCATTTAATATCAATTTGCTATGTATATTAAACATGGTCTATGCGGTAGGTAAATGCCAGTTTAAACCTAATTAAACTAAATTATAACTTAAATATTGTATTAACCTATAATCGTATGAATGTGGTATGAAATAGTTGTAGGTGTGGGTGTGAGATTTCTTGTTTTTGTTGCAACTTGTTTTATATACAATTGTTACCATTATTAAGGTCGTGTTCTAAATCTTTACAGAATGACCCGCGATCCTTGACCGATCATCCTTGGCTGCATAATTGATTGTTAAACTCACTGCCACATAGTGGTAAGTGCAGGGTATAATCATATTGTATATATATAATTCTACATATTATCTTCATTATTATTTGTAATATATATTTATGGCAAGTCATACATGATGTAAGTTTTGTTAAATAGTTTTCTTCTTGCTATATATATTTAAAGATTTATTTATGCTAGTACTGTTTCTGGGCTAGCTATATCACTCTGAGAATATGTAGAAACTGTAATATATATATTATCCACGATATGTTTCATAATCAAATACTTAAAGAATAAAGATGTTTCTGCATATATACAGGGTTAATGAACATTCTTAGTTAATGATTATCATCATTTCGAAAATAAGATACATGTCTGTCATCTGTGGCCACGAGTATCGTTGTGTTGTGCATGTGCCACCCACCAACATCTACCCCATATCTGCTACTACGTGTCCATGGTGTGCTGGTGAACTTCTCACCTGGTGGACATCAGGCAGATAAACAAGGTGAAGTGAATATAATTGACAGTATGATCAAACAACACAGGCCAGACTGATATGTAAACATGTACAGTAAATGTGACACCGGTAAGAACCGTTATCACTGGACTCGTTTGTCAGTGATGTGAAAGCAAGTTAGGAACATTTTGACAAAAAATCACCGGGCAGTAATGCTGGAATAAGCAGCTGAAACACTGAGGCCTGTGGTTTGAGACCTCACAAGGGGTCAAGGTCGGCTGCTAACATGGCCATCAGGAAGGTGCCGTGCATGAGATAGTCCCAGCGACGTGCCAGTCTGTTATCGTTATGACGAATGCGGCAAACAGTGAAACGCATGGAACATAACGGAAAGTCCTACTGTGATTAACAACAAAACGTGTATTGCTTAAAGCAGAACTGGCGTGGTGTCACATCGTTCCACAATGAAGTTAATACAATGAATTACCTTTTATCTATTTGGTGTGATAGTAAACTAATGCATATATATAAATCTACTATAGCAGTATAATTCACATTGACCCCGTCTGTTTTGACATATCCAAAAGGTGTTGTGTACTATGCTTTTTGGAAAATGTCCACGTTCTTGACGGACAACAATACAATAGACCATAGAAAGCCGACATGATACTAACAGTCCACTTTACAGTTGACCATGCAAAGAAAATTTTGCTAGAAAAATTATTTTGCCGGCGATTGCTCAAGACATGCAACTAATACCTCAAAAAGGGGGGTCCAAAATTTGAAAATCATGACACACAACGTCTAGAGCAATCAGCATGGCCAGCATGAGAGAACAAATACTCGAGTCCTAGTATCTTCTTTCCGCATATTTCCGTCGTTTGTATTTTCGTCTACCTGCCCCACTCTTACAACAGATGACGACGATGGCGATGAGAAGCACGAGAACCAAGATTCCACCAAAAGCGGCAACACCAACAACGGCCTCAAGATCCTTGCCCAAGTAACTGGGGATCGGTGGTGCAGGAACAGTACTAGTACCAGGACCGGGACTAGTAGTAGCAGCAGCACCAGGACCGGGACTACTAGTAGCAGCAGCACTAGGACCGGGACTAGTAGTAGCAGCAGCACTAGGACCGGGACTACTAGTAGCAGCAGCACTAGGACCGGGACTACTAGTAGCATCAGCACTAGGACCGGGACTACTAGTAGCATCAGCATCACGACCGGGACTAGTAGCATCAGCAGCACGACCGGGACTAGTAGTAGCAGCAGCACCAGGAGGAGGGAGCTGGAATATATTATACAACAATATATTATTTAACTATTAAATAAAAAAACCCATAAATCACAGTTAAACAGAAGCATCAAGTTTGGCCGGTTTCGAACAGTCCCATTTCACAGAGCGATCGAAGCGCTGAGACAATCGTAGCTCGGTCCCAGCAATGAGATAAACCGAGTTCCCGTCAACCCATTCTGGCCTTGCGAAGCGACTCAATGGATCGGAAACTAGGTGGATTAGTTACCCGTACCACGTCATCTGTCCAGGCTCATGTTGCTGATAGGCTCAGTCACTGGATTATCTGGTCCAGACTCGAGTATTTAGAAGCCATCGTCACATCACTGGAATAGTGCAGCAACTTCACACTACTTACACCATGTTGCCGAGAAACAAAACTAATGCAAAAAAGTAACCACGCTTCACATTAAGTCCAACAAAACAAATTGATGATGAAAGACTGCATGTTCCACGCACAAAGTGACGGCATCTCCGAAATGTATGCATAATGAGAAATGAGCATGCCATCCGATGCCAAAAGGAAGAAATGTACGCATTATAGTTTCCCAAGTACGCTGAGACTTCATTGAACTGCCATCAAGTGTTGCGTTAACAATGTTGTTGTGGATGATAAACATATTTTGCAAATATAATGTACAGTTTTAGATAGTGATGAGTATACTTGCTGTAATTAGATTTAGCTTGGTCTGAGGGGCCTTCGCTTGAGCGAGACGAAGTATTATGTAACTAGAGGTACAGCTTGGGGTTTGATCAATTCAGCTTTGGTCGAATGTGGCCAGCCAGCTTATAGGGAGAAGCTCGGGGACTCGGATCTATTTGGGTAGTTTCTTGAGGACTGGATTTTTGCCAGCTGTTTTGTACCCATGATGTGAATGTTCAGCTGTGAATTCACAAACTTGCACCAACGACTGTGATAAATATGGAAAAAGAGAAACAAGGAAATCATGGTGTACACGGTTTTGGAAGGATTTTAAACTGAGGTGACTCTGCCGTATTGCTTTGCCAATAATATTATTGCTAAGACAATACCCTCTTCATTTACCACCCTTGTAAATCAGTATCTTGTACCAGCCTTCCGTTTTGATAGTATTAATAAATCTACCTAAATTGGTCAGATTGTTGTGTGATCCATTCTCATTGTGCGAGTGAATTGGTGTCATATTCCCCTTTATCGCACCTTTACTCGTAACAAAGTCCCTTAGGGAGTATTATGTAAAGTAGTTAATATGACGTCAACTGTGAAGCTACATTTCCCAACACGTTAATACATATGGTTTTTGTGTTCTGAACGATATTTGCCATGTAGTCTAAAGACTATTCATGTACTTTATGAATACTATGCTTGTCGGGGTTGTGTTTTTTATGTTCTGAACTGATATTTGTCATGTAGTATGTTTCTATGAAAATTATGCTTTCGTTAGGAATGTTTCATACAAGTATGTTTTGAACATATGAATATTATGCTTGTCGTTAGGAAGTGAAGTATGTTTCCATGAACATATGAATATTATGCTTGTCGTTAGGAAGTGTTTCATACAAGTATGTTTCCATGAACATATGAATATTATGCTTGTCGTTAGGAAGTGTTTCATACAAGTATGTTTCCATGAACATATGAATATTATGATTGTCGTTAGGAAGTGTTTCATACAAGTATGTTTCCATGAACATATGAATATTATGATTGTCGTTAGGAAGTGTTTCATACAAGTATGTTTCCATGGATATATGAATATTATGATTGTCGTTAGGAAGTGTTTCAAACAAGTATGTTTCCATGGATATAAATATTATGATTGTCGTTAGGAAGTGTTTCATAATTCCTGAACATATGAATATCATCCGCCAACTCATTAATTCTTGTGTTATTAATTTTTCAGGTTGAGAAATAGTTTGTTTCAGTATTCCTGGTTAGAGAAAAATGCATATTTATGGAAATATTTCCTCGATTTGAATGTTTGTTTGAAGGATGATATCACACAGGTTGTTTTGAGTGTGAACAGCATGCATTGATTGTTGAACCATCGGTTGTTCATAAATATACACTTTTGTTAACCGTAACGATTGTGTACTGTGACGACATGCCGGAAAATAAAGTCTACGCCAAGAAGGTATGCTACATCAGTTACCTGTGGCGAAGTTGAAAAAAAACGTTAACCCGGAATCTGTACGAAATAGGATTTGGTGTGAAACCAACACGCAGCGAAGACATGCGGTACAATTAACATTTGTTACAGAATCAGTAACTCAACCCAGTTTCAAATCAGACCACTCGGCGATATCAATGGCATTCAAACTATCAGACCTATCACGTGGAAAAGGGTTTTGGAAATTTAACAATTCTTTATTAAAGGACCAATCATATGTAATGAAAATTAAGGGCATTATTTCCCAAACAGTTAAGCAGTACAAAGTTGGGACAAACGAATATAGTATCAACGACCAGTTTCTGTTTGAAACTATTTTAATAGTTTCAAATGATAAGAGAAGAAACTATGAAGTACTCTTCATTTCTGAAAAAGGAAAGAATTAAGAAAGAAACACAACTTACAGATAAACTAAATGAAACAGAAGTTAAGCCAGATAAATCAAAGTATTATTTTCAATCGTAAAACATCCGGAACTATGCCAACTTTTCAGTACAAGTTGAAAGGTTTACTCAATATTACAATTCAACCACATATGCAGCTATGTTATGCTCCAGAATCGACGCTTTTTACAAATTCTGGTCGGCATGTCACAACCTGTTCAACGACTGATATATTTTGTATTGTCGTTGCTACATGCTCTGTATAGCCTCTATACAGAGGTAGCCCTCTACCCGGCATGTTGGAGCCCATGGGCAACTGTAAAAATGATATGAAAAATAAAGAAATTATAAAAAACACAATTCAACCAAGTCCACAACTCACTACTAATCGCTACAAAGGGATTACAAATCTGCAAAACCATGTAGCCAGTGACTTTAATGTATCATCACGTCCACAAGACAACTGTATTCAGTTGGTGTAGCAACAGAATTGTTACCAAACTGCCACATGGATAGCTCGGACAGTACCTGGGTTGAGACCAGTCAGTGACAGAATTGTCAGCTGCCGGTTGAGGGAGAACACCGCAGAACAACCAAACTAAACCCATTTCAGCCAGCTTTGTCATTCCTGGTTGTAGACAGCATATGAGGCTTGTAAGACCAGAATTACACAATATACCGATCTCATTTGAGTCAGGATTTATCAAGTGTCCATAGAAATCCAAGTGAAAGTTTCGGCGACGCTTACACTACTCAGCGTCGACTGTTTGAGGGATGGAAGGCAAGCGGTATGGAGTGACATCATAGCTCGTGGAAGGACACAACTCATCATCGTTAACAGAAATTGAACGGCGTAGCAACAGGAACAAATGCAAATGAAGGGAAGTGACGTCACGTTTGAGGAGGATGAAGATAATTCCAGCCCAGACGTGGAGCGTGTTGGAACAGACTTTGAGAGACATATCTAACATTGCCGTACTGTTCCTACATACCTCTCTCCCATGGAAATGTGTGGGATGAGAAAAATCGACACCTACGACCTGACTAGAACTAGCTGGTAACGCTAGCTCAGTCAGAGCCAATATTTGAAGTTTTGAACAACTAGACTTAACCCTCTGTGTCTTCAACGGTGCCACACCGGTATCGACGTAAATGGTTGTCACATAATAATGACATTGTTAATGGGTGCCTAGAGCACACCTGACCCTACTACGGATGGCATTAGTTTCAGGAACATTGGCACCACTTCTATATGAGGCATAGTTACTTTTGTCAGTCAGTATATATTGTTTTTCTCTTCTAAACAGATTTGGTACTCGATTTGAAAATTAATGTTTCACTATGTTCAGTGTTATGGAAAGTGTTATGTGGCAGTGTTATTCATGCAAACAGTTGTGCTGTTGTATTACATTGTACCTGTTAAGATTCAGTAGAAGGCAGCGGCGTGCAAGTATATTTACTATATTTTGACAGAGAGTCATGATTAATCTGGTAGCTTGTAGATCAGTGGGAATAATCCAGGTTAGTAAAGACTTGTCTGGAAGCCCTGTTGTGACCACTACTGTAGCCGTGTGTATACTGACATCACTGTCATTGTCATTATGCTGCCACTGTGGTTCGTATTTCGCAGTTTTCTGCATCGATTTGTTGACTCTAGCTAATTGTAGAATCTAAATGCTTATTGTATAACATTTCGCCGTTGTCTGTTGGATTCACACTAAATTCTTTACGGATATCTGGTTAACATTTCCTCAGACAATATGCTGACGCGGCTTGATTTAGGGACTGAGGGACTCACTCACCCACTCACTCACACTTACTCACTCACTGTATATTGATTTGGTAGACTTACTTGACACTGAGTTGTTGAGTTGCATGATCGAATAGGTTTAGTCAGTCCAGGGGAGAGATCAAACACACACTGACCGGTGTTACTGGCGATGTCGACCACGGTGATGAAGACGAGTGGATAACAGCAGTCGCTCCTGCAGGGATAGATATAACGTGTTAAGTTGTTGTTCCTGGGCAGTTATGGACAAATGGTCCTGAATACCATTACATAACGCTGATGTGGCACTGTCCGCCGGGGTGGGGGTGGGGGTGGGGTGGGGTGGGGGTGTGTATATACGTCAGCAGGAACAGACCGCCTCCGTGGTGTAGTGGTTACAGTGTCCGCCCGAGAGCGGAGAGCTGAAGGTCGCGGGTTCGATCCTCGGCCGCGTCATACCAAAAGACGTTAAAATATGGTACTTGTTGGTCCCTGCCTGGCGCTCGGCATGAATGGGTACAACAAGGACTGGTCGGCGTGGTATCTCAGTGAGCTAGCACTATAAAACCAGCTTACGTCTGGGCTAGTACAAGCTGCCACACATACACACGCATGCAAATCGTCATATGAGCAAAATATTCTTAAGTGCGACGTTAAACCCCATTTCACAGCACATCATATAAACAGGTTACCGTGATTCCATCCTCTATCATGTCCGTAGAAATTTGAGGCATGCAAATATTGTAACCACTCATGTTCTTGTGCCATGTTTTCTTAGTATATATACCGGTGCAAAAAGTTGGGGATAGAGGGGATCATGAAGACGTGTTCTGATTCACGTGCCATTGGCACGTGGAAATGATATGATCACACCCGCTGGTAAGTAGGCGATCAGATCAAATGGGTTCTAATGGTTGGTGTGAAGGTGGCACACTACGTTTTTGAAAAGATCAGGGTCAAATTCGAGATAAGCATATTGCACACTCATGTTGTTCGACTCAAAAGTGAGAGGAGGGTGGGTGACGTACATGCCATCTAATGACGTCCCGAATGTGTTCAATGGAGGGTAAGGTCAGGACTGGGCGTTGGCCTTCGCGTGGCATAGGTGGCCACAGTCCTGGAACGTTGAGGGTGTGCATGATTATCTTGTATCATGAATGAGTGATTAAATATTTATGGTAGCATGGGCAGTATATCGTGAATAAAATACGTTGTACATTAGTAATGCATTCTTAGACTATAAAACACGCGGAAGAGGGACAGTAAAAGAACTAGAGTATCACAGATTTAGGTGTAAAACTAAGCGTTAAAGTATGACTATTGATAACAATACAGGAATGGTCTACAGATCACCAACAGCCAAGCCACCACACATGGGGGCTTACGGTACTTCCGCTACCTATCACCTAACTAGATCTACATAATCAATCTGGCTTCTGGCGATTATTACAAATAAAAAGCAAGAAGTATACTACGTTTCAAACCATGAAGGATGAAAAACACTTTGAATGGAAAGTAACTTCCGTCCTCTCACAGAGGGACTAGTATGTCGTGTTCACTTCAGCCACAAAAAATCTCCGTCCTTTCTTCTTCCAAACTAAAACTTTACTTTCTATTTACTATATATATTTTATCAAAATATATCAATTAACTCAATTTGATACAATACAAATTAATGTTATCTGATATGTGCGTGAAACTTTGAACTAATTACTCCTTGTGAGAGAAAACTCAGTACAGTCAAGCATGACATGCTGGCCTGTTTCGTTCTTTATAGTGGAAACGGCACGATGCTCCTCGCCTTTCCGTAATATCCATGTGTGCATCTGTGGCGGCTACCCGACGTCATCGCATTACGACCTCTTCAAATTGGGACGAACATCCCAACCGGCATGAACTTATTGATACCTACTTGGCTGACCCAGTTTTCTGCATTAGATCTTTGATGTAACATGAAATTTCGGTCTTGATCAATACATTCGATTAGAAGTTCTGCCACAGATTTGTTGAGTGCTGACAGCGGTATCAGTACCAACGTGGCTTCGTAACTAACAGGAGACGATGTCGTATTGTCCAGCTGCAGTTTTTATGTAATTCTGTTTGCTAGGAAAATGTTACTCGCCTGTAAGCGGGGTATAATGATTGGCTCAGCCAATCAGAAAACGACATTTACGTGTCATACAAGGAACTGTTTTTATGACACGGATGCTGGTAGAAAGGATTTACAATAAAACCATAAGCTGGATTAGATTGATCTAAAAACTGTATTGATGTATTGTAGTTACAGTTTGAAACTCCGTCGTTGTAGTGTTCGCCCATCGACTTCTACTTACAGTTCTGAAAACACCATTGCAAAGTCTCAGGCCCTAATGATACATTGTGTCCAATAATTATATATGACCTTCACAGGCTCCACCACAGACGATGGCGCCATAATCCAGTTTCGACTGATATAGCTGGAGGTAGGGTTGCTGGTTCCCTCCTCATTTGGAATTTGAAACAACTTTCAACAGGTCAAGAGCTTTCAGGCATTTCTTTTTCAAACATTTGATGTGCGGTGAGAAGGTCAAGTGGTGATCTTTTACAACTTATTTCGAAAGGAGTGTCATGTGCAACTAGTCCTGTGTCTCAAGGACGTATGGTGACAGTTGAAAACCAAAAAAGCCCATTTCCATAGGACCATTTATGGTTTACATCAAGTCATAACCGCAGCCGCTTTTCAACAGTATTCATATTCTTTTCTTCACAGAAAATATTAAAATCATTCACAAAATCTATCCATCAATTTAAACATTTAAGACTTCATTTGAACATTGTACACTGTGGCAATTCCTCGTGAGACCTGACCATAATGGTGAGACATTATAATTATACGCGGGTATAATCATGAACGGCCTCAATCAAAACTAATTTAAATCTTTTAAGATATCATGTTTCCATATAGTGTCGTGTACTTTTGCTGAAATCGAAACCATGGATAGTGCATGCTGGTTATTAATGATGGCATGTTTAAACATTACACTATTCGGGCAAAATGGTCAACGGTACTTTTTTCGAAATGCACATTGGATATTTGCTATTATATTATTTGATTCTAAGTATCATGTTAGTCTTTTTCACCCTCCGTTCAAACATAGCTAGTCAATTAAATGAGTAGATAATTTGACGGCTCGGTAGGATCAAGTCATGGTTTTGCTATGCTCAAATGTATTTAACAAACTCCTAAACATGATTGTGGTGAATGTTTCAGGAGATGATGCTGTGTAATATCAGCCTCTGAAGCAGTCTCATGAGTGTGCCAAAGAGCAGCATGGAGCTCATGAATAGAAAATATATCACACTATTCTGCCCCTTCATCTCGTTATCTTGCCTTTCTACTTTTGATATTTTTGAAATTTAGATAGTTAGATAAGTAAGAATGTTTGACCAAAGATTCCTTACAAAATCTGAAGTAATACACTTCCTTTTTTAAGTTGTTGGATACTACATTACCTTTGAATATTCTGTATCATATTCCAAACCTTTGACATCGACGTTCGTGAATATGTTTTTTTTAAAAATAGCTTTGGCACTAAAATATTAGATTTATTCAAATTTTGAACCTTTGGAGGGTGACGGAAATAGTGTCTCGTCTTCTTCGTGCCTTTCTAGTCTGTAAACAGTCATCGATATACAATGGCTTACGTATGTGTCGATTTCTAGAGAATACATTCATCCGCTATTTTGTTTAGTTTATTATTTCATTTTAAAAAATCAAAACCAACAAGCCAGTGCTCTGTATTATGAGACTGGCCAAATGAACCACCACCTTCTGGCCTACTACTCTTGACAGAAACTATATTTTCATAATAAAGCGTATGATCGTTCATGTTCAAACTAGTTAGATGTGATATTTCTACATTTAGGTTTTCTGTCTGACCACCATGTTGATAGAACCGGACCCAGTCTACTAGCCGTCTAGTTGATGTAAGGGTCAAATGGTGTGTTGGACAAAATGAGCATCTGTTCCTGGCTCCAATGCCCTTAGAAGACTCCCCACCTCCACTGTCTGCGGCTGAAACCGCGGCAAACGGGTCGCCTAATTTATTCATCTTTTGCAACCGGGATTGAGTTGTGTGAGTGTCCTGAGTTCATCTGTTTAATGAAGCGTCTTTGAACTTTTGGTTCCAAGAAAACAATATGTGTCTACTCAATAGACAGACGACAGACGGACGGACAGACGGACAGACAGACAGACAGACAGACAGGTTTATTCGGTAATTTAGGCCCAAGGCCCATAATACATACATTTGGCAAAAGTAAATACATACTGAGTAAAGCTAAGTAAAGTTTCATATTACTTGTTTTACAGATAATCATTCCTTCTACGGCGAACTTGTGAAAGATATTTACTCAATGATTTTTAACTATGTATATTGTCTGGTGACAACGATCGGATGAAGGTTTCAATTGTCGGTGGTTGAGTCAGATGTATTGAAAAACAATCAGATCTTTGTTGGGAATATTTTGGACATATTAATTAAATATGGAGTTCATCTTAGATGTAATCAAGGCCAGCAGCATGACAAAAGAGGCAGAGACGTTCATTATACGGGGTGTTTGTATGACGGCCACATTCCACTGCGAGTCTGAAGTTACAGCACCGAAACTGAGTTATGATTTTACGTTGATTTGGTAGTAATTCACTGGTTAAATATGGTTCGAAGCTTAAAGATGATTTAAATTGTGAATAGTATTTACATTTGGGTGACGAAAATAGTGATGCCTGGCTGTTTTGAGTGAAGCAGTCATAGAATCTCTGTTTAAAAATATGTGCATACTAACACCCGTGAGTCTCAGTGGTAACCCTTGGCTACAACCACTAGCTGTCAATGGTCACCAGCTTGGGTCACTGCGATGATTTGGTGCGTGGGAGCTGAATTTCTTTGGCAAGTTTCATTTCACCTGAAAACAAAACACCCCCTTGCAATTTCTGCTGTCAAGAGGCTCTGTTTCCTTGTGGCAAACATAAAAGTCCCGTCTGAAAATAACTAAATGAGACTAACATTGTTTGGATATTGACATGCTTACGTGATGGTAGCTGATATGGTGCCGTTGTAACCAAGGGTGAAATTGTCGTGTCGGAACGATCCTGTTGCATTAATAGAAGCGGTCACTTGGTAGAGTCCGAACCCATTGTCTCTGATTTCAGCAGTCCCTGACCACTTGTACTGGCTGCACACACAAGGGTCAAGCATTGTGACGTCACAACTACCTGTCACCGAGGTGACGTTGCAGACAGGGATGGTGTCATCTTCTTCCTGAAATGAAAGGATACACTACAGAAATGGACGGCAAACATCACGCATGTTTGTGTGGAGAGATCTTTGCCACCCCTGTTGGCATATCACCCTCAAAAGTCCTCTTATACAATGCCTCTCCCGTTGTTTCCCGTGCACTTAAAAAACTCCAACATACTCGATGTAAGAAATTTATTTTGTACATGAATGGCTTATGGTCTAAAAAACAAGACAGCATCAGAAGCTGGGAAAAAATCACCGTCAGTAGTGAGTGAGTAAATATACTGAACATCATTGAAAACGCACCAGTCTAAAATTGTCCATATTTTCATCAAGATGGATTTCAGCATGACAATGATTAATGAATATAACTAAAATGAAGTCGAAGGGCATGTCCAGTTGAAAAAATGCTTTAGAAATCAATTCCTGTCCACAGTGGGACTCTTAATTCCAAAATGCATCAACATGCAGCCACGCCATGAAAAAAGCGCGAATTTCATTCTGAAATCATACTGACTGTGACATTGAAAGCAGGTGTATGAGAACCGATTCTCATTGCTTCACTAACGATTGTGAAACGAGGACAGAGATACCGAGGTTAACACCTCACGAAAGAGAACGTGCACTAGGCATGATTCAGGTTGGCACCAGCAGCAGGGATATTGCTCGACAACTTGCACTTGGCCACTCCACCATCGTTAAGCTTCATAGACGACATCAGTAGAAAGGCAGCACCCGTGACCTTCAATGACCTAGGCAACAACGTGTTACGACGCTCCATCAGGATTGCCATATTGACCTTGTCCATATCAGTGATTGAACACTGCCGACTGCTGGGACTACTGCACTACTTCAAGGTTGACGTCGGGGTCATCAGCTCTGAATCCATGCGACGCCGTCTACGCGCTACAGGCTCCATGCTAGACGTCCTTACGTTGCACCAATTCTGACTGACAGACACCGTAATGAGCGTATACAATGGGCTAGCAGGCATTTTCAGTAAAGGTTACAACAATGGCATGGTGTGGTAGTCACTGACGAGTCACGTCTTCATCTACGTAATGCTGACGGCCGATTACGTGTTTGGCGTAGACGTGGTGAACTTTATGCTGATGAGTGTGTGGTTCAGACAGACCTTTGGGTGGTGGGAGTGTCATGGTCTGGGGTGGAATAAATTACAATCACAAGACTGCCTTCATGTTTGTCAAGGGAGAGTTAATGCCCTTTATTACCGTGAGCAGATTCTTCAGAATCACATCGCATCTGTCTTCAATCACCACCAAGATGTCCATACGTTTCAACAGGACAACGCACGGGCACACACAACAAGACTTTCCATGCAGTATCTGGCCCAGCAACACATCCAGGTTATTTATTGGCCAGCACAGTTGCCAGATGTATCCCCCATGGAGCACTTGTAGGACGAAATTGGTCAAAGTCTTTTGCGGCGACAACAGATGCGAAACGTCCGGGAACTTGAGGCTGCACTACTACAGAAGTGGAATGCCATCCTCAAGAACACTATTCGGACGCTTATTGACTCAATGAGGAGACGTTGAACTGCATGTGTCAATGCAAATGGCGGTCACACGTAATATTGACTTTTCGATTTGACCCCACGTGTGTTTGATCCTTTCTGACTGTGGAACATTTGAATGAATGAGCGTTTTTCTGTGTTGTTGTTTTTGTCAGTCGTCCATCTGTTATTATCCACTCAAAAAATACCAATTCCTTACACGTGCTTTTAATAATCTGAACTTTTATAAGTGGTGCGTCTTCAATGATGTTCAGTACATTTGGCGCATGCATCAACAGAACTGCAGCTATTCACGGCTACATAGTTATAGAAATTATCACAGGCCAGGGAGTTTCTCCAAGAGGTAATGTCATTCAAGAGGAACACAGTAATTAACGAAATATGCACAGTTTAATTCTTACCCTTCGACACCATTTTCACTTCTGGGGCGAAAATAGTACGGTGTTAAGGCGTCAGCCTATCAGACTGAAGGCCCGGTTTCGATCCCCGGTGGAGGCACCTAGGTTCGGGTACCAAAGTGGACACATTTGCGTAGTTTCCTCGGACAAGATACTTAGATCCACATTGTCTCAATTCACCCAGCTGTAAAATGGGTACCCGTGATGATGTGCTGGCAATGTGAGTGTTTAGTTCAGTGCGCCCAGCAGGCAGCATGGCTGTATGATGCCCAGGGAGTTGAAAAGGTATCGGAAAGTACGATAGTGTCCTATGAGCGGATATAGTAATCTACGTAGCTTGAGGAGGCAATGTGATTGGATATGAGCGCCATATAAGCGGACTATGACTATAACTACTTCAGGGGGACTCTCTTCGGCCAACTGTTTAGACATACACAAACGTGAATTCTCATACCTGAGAGTGAAGCAGAAGAACGTAAAATAATTCAGTCCAGGTAAATTTTGTTCCCTCGAAACTGTGCCTATTTGGTTCCCTCTTAACTGTGTCTATTTGGTTCTATCGAAACTGTGCCTATTTGGTTCCTTCGAACCTGTGCCTATTTGGTTCCCTCGAAACTGTGTCTATTTGGTTCCCTCGAAACTGTGCCTATTTGGATCCTCAAAGATTGTTTAAAACATATTGTTCTTATCTTGACACATGACATTAACTCTTCACTATCCGAAGCACTTGTCACATCTCATCACAAAGGCTCGATCCAGAGCTTACTAAAGCACTATAGACCAGTATCAAATCCTTCCTTCATATCAAAAGTTCGTGAGTGCTTTGTGGCAACGGTTGGTGGATCACTGGGAACGTCATGGCGTATATGAAGCCATGCAGTCAGTTTGTAGACTTGTCTCAGCACTGAAACTGGCCCTGTCCGTGCCCCAAATGACCTTCTTGATTAACTGTATTTGTCTGCCGCAGTTGACACAGTTGACTAAAAGGTTAACATCCTAGAAACAAGAATAGGAGTGACTGGTGGTGCTCTATAGTGGATCGAATTCTGCCTCTCTAGCCAAAGCAGTCAGTACTCGTATATGGGATAGCATCCAACAATGTTCCTTATGGTGTTCCACAAGGTTCAGTCTTAGCACCTATTCTCTTTACTGTCTATGAATCATCAAACATTTCAATCGTCGTCAGTGTCTGCGTGTGAAATACTCACAAAACGCATCAGTGACAGTAAGGTATGGATGATATGGACTTCCTGAATTTGAATCATGATAAAACAGATTTCGTACTTTTGTGCTCGAATATGACTTGCTCGCAACTTCCCTACAATGCCACAATCCGTCCTAGCGATGAAACACGCAATTTGGATGTTATCCATGATTCTACAATGCAGTTAGAAGACAAAATTTGTGAATTTGCACATTCGAAAAATAGCCCTCATCAGGAATGAGGAAAACTACACAGATCCTAGCCCACGCGTATGTTGCATCCAGACTTGACTACTGCAATGCTTTGCTTTCCAGACTTCTTGAGTATCTCCTTGACAAGCTCGAGAAGGTCTAGAACTCAGCAGCAAGAGTCATAACCGCCACAAGGAGATATGTACATAGTACACCTGTACTAAAAGAATTATCCCGGCTTTCTATCTCCAGAAGAATTATGTAATTTTTAGAGTAAAATTGATATTTTATACTTATCCTGACTCATGCTCTTTTTGCTTGTCTTCTTCTTCTTGCGAACATAGTGGAACACTTGTATCTCCCTAATTGAAGCTCCCTTCAATGTAAAATCACTAATTAGTACACCACGAGTTACCTCCCTTCCACAAGCGCGGGAACGAGGGCGCCACCTCTACCCATGTGCCTCACTCTCTCCTCATATACTGAGCCCAACATTTGAATTTACAGGGAAATCCAAAGTGTTATGTGGGGAGGATGGGAGGGCATACCTCATGAGTCAGGATAAGTATAAAATATCAATTTTACTCTAAAAATTACATATTTTTCCTTATCCTGACTCATGCTCTTTTTGCTTGTAGAATCCTACGGAAAAGGAGGTGGGAATATATAATACTTTGGATTTTAATAATTAGTGATTTGAACTGTGATGATTGTAATAACCCTATGGGAACTTCATAAAGGCACTGAACTGATGAATTCCTGCTGCTAACTTATCAGCTGCCATATAAAGGTTATTACAATGTACTTATTACAATGTACTTATTATGATAAAGTATATATAACATTAATACAATGCTTAAGACTAATAGACTTAAGCTTGTTAAATTGCTAGTATAAACTCCTTAGAGTTTGTTAGCTAAATTACTTTAAGATATATAAACATAGTACTAAGCTTAAGATATGCTTAAACTTAAGCTAATTATATAATAGCAAAACTCTTTAGAGTTTGTTAGCTAATATACTTATATGATATAAACATAGTGCTGAGCTTAAGATATGAATAAGCTTTAGCTACATATATAATAGCAAACTCTGTAGAGTTTGTTAGCTAATATATTTTACAATATGAGTATAGTACTGTGCTTAAGATATAATTAACTTAAGCTACATATACAATAGCCAAAACCTCTGTAGAGTTTATTAGCTAATAGACTTATATTGTAACCATAGTATTAAGCTTAAGATATGATTAGACTTAAGCTAAATGTATATAGCAAAAACTCCTTAGAGTTTTTAACTAATATACTTTTATGTTAAAAACATACATAGTACTGAGCTTAAGATATGATTAAACTTAAGCTATATATATAAAAGCAAAACTCCGTAGAGTTTGTTAGCTAATACATTTTATAATGTAACCATACTGCTTAAGATATGATGAACTTAAGCTAAATATATAATAGCAAAAACCTTTAGAGTTTTGTTAGCTAATATACTTATATGATATAAATATAGTATTGAGCTTAAGATATGCTAGAAACCTTAAGCTACATATATAATAGCAAAACTCCGTAGAGTTTGTTAGCTAATACATGTTATAATGTAACCATAAAGCTTAAAATATGATGAAACTTAAGCCAAATATATAATAGCAAAACTCTTTTAGAGTTTGATAGCTAATATACCTATAT